GTTTTTTTAAAAAAAAAAAAAAAAAAGAAAAGACAGAAAAAAAAAAAAAGGCATTTCAGGCCTTTGAATGTCGTTGCCATATGATCTGTATGTTGTTTATAGAGTATCTTGCATATTGTTTTTAGGAACTGGATGGTAAGAAATTTCAGCTTGCTCTGGCTGCGTGTGTGATTCCCAAAGCGTTCCTTTGCATTGCTGCTAAACCTCTTTTTTTGGTGGCTTAATATCTAGCATTTTTCCTCTTTGGAAAAAAGCACATTATCAGCTGCTCCAATGGCTTGACAGCAGCTAAAGAAAGACTCAGTGAGAAGTGGCCTTCAGTCCGATTCTTCCAACCCCCACCTGCCCTACAGGCCTCCAGAGGTGACCCCTTGTGCCCTGGTGGCAGGGAAAATGGTAGCAAACCACGAACGGCTTCCATAGGCTAGCATCTACCTCAAATTTACCTTGGATTTTCCCACCCTGAGAAGGGAGCAGTTGCATTCCCTGCCCTCTGGACCTGGGGAGGGAATCCAAGCAAAGCCAAGCATCTTTCTAGATGAGAGAACCTACTGATTTAGCTATTGCTGGAGCCAGGGCATGGTGGGGGAGATGGCTTCTACCCCCAGCCCCCAAACAATCTGCTGCATGACTTTTATATTTTTATTTAGCTTTTTTTTTTAAAAAAAGAAAAAAGACAATAAAGTTTCTTTATTCTTTTATTTTTAGTGGCAGTTTTGGCTTTTTCTTTAATTTTCTCCCACCACCCCCCCACAGATCAGGTTGCAGCTCTGGGATACTGCGGGTCAGGAACGGTTCCGCAGCCTCATTCCCAGTTACATCCGCGACTCGGCTGCCGCCGTAGTAGTTTACGATATCACAAGTAGGTATACTGCACCGGGGTTGACCTTTTTTTTCTTATGTTTCTTGCTTGTTTGACTGATTTTGTTAGGTACGGTTGCAATTATGGGACACAGCAGGTCAAGAGCGGTTCAGGAGCTTGATTCCTAGCTACATTCGTGACTCCACTGTCGCAGTTGTTGTTTATGATATCACAAGTGAGTGGGGGGAATTCTGCATTTCTAATACTCTGCTCTTTCATCCTCTTAACCCGGCTTTGCATGCCCTGTCACAGTCATGTGCTCCTTCTTCATTCTGGCATGAGCGGTGTTTCCTATACCATAGTCTAGTTTAAACCAAGCACCTGATAACAGCAATAAATTGACTGACTAATCCACCTTCATGCAATAAGAATGTTTTAACCCTTTCCTATCACATATCTAAAGCCCTGAGCACTGCCTGGCCTTGTTGCGCTTTACTGGCTCTTCTTGGGCTATCACCTCTATCTTTTGATGTGGTCTCAAACACCTGAAGCACCTGGCTATGCAGCTTTGAACTTTCCACGTTGGAGCTTTCACACTGCTAGCTGCAGCTTGCTTCGCTCCATTCTGCCCAAAATGCGGGCCCGGGCTGGGGAAGGATGTATGTTTTCATCTCCATTCTAATCGGTCACCTTCATGTTACAGTTTGTAAAGCTCCATGACTAAGTCTCTGCCCTTTTTTTTAACAATTTGCTCTTTCATTCTTTACTAAGGTACGTACGTTTTTGAGGACTAAAATGTTACTGCTTCCTCCACCCCCAAGACTGGGTTAGAGGCCCATGGAAGTGTAATAAATTAATAAATTTAATTTCTGAAGAGCCCTAACTTTGTTATGGGAGAAATTTCAACTTTCAGACATTCTTTATTTTTTTCACTGGGTAGTGACCGAGTGAAATAGTCTTAATCGACACAAATGCAAAATGGGCTTATGAATAAAAAGGATAAGTACTAAAACAATATGGCAGGAATTAAGGTTTTTTTTAGCTATAAACTTACTTAAATTGTCGTAAGCAAACTTTTTTTTTTTCTCAATTAAGCTAAAATTGCAGGTTAGCTCTGAACTTTAGATTTCTACTGACCTGATGGGTCCAACACTCCTAAGTACTAAAGCAAAGCTTTATGGTGTTGGCCAGTGCCTGACTCTTAACTGGCAAAGACCTGCAGTATGTTCACTCTACAGTTTAAGCCATTAATAAAACTACACTTGCCAAGAATTGCAGCAGGGATCTGCCTGTTTAAGCCTAAGAAAAGCCACTGGCATCTCAGATTCCTTTGCAATAGGAACTCTTTAATGACAGCTGCCATGCAATTCGCCTTTCCCCTGGAACACAGTGTTGCAAACAAGGTTATGGTGCATCAGTAGTTAAAGCCTAGTTCCTAAAAATCTTGCTTTATAGCTTTAAATATTTATTTTACCAAAGCTGCTAGAATCCTAAAAGAGAGGATTTTTTAGCAAATATAAAGTGCCAAAGGACAGGTTAAGCTTTATTTATGTTTTTAGTGTGATGCAAATAATTCTGAAATTCTTTTGAGGTTGGTGTTCAAGGAAAAAGTTGTTGGTAATTACCCAACCCAAATATTCCTAAGAGAACAAACAAAAAACCAGGGATTGCAAAATGATTAACCAACCCAAAGTGCATAATTGCTGTTAAATGCTTGCAAAAAGCCAAGATGCTGTAAGGATCTCCTGCTGCCAATGCTTACTTTTGATATTTAAGTCATAAGGAGATTAGAGCAAATGACAGTGTTTTCCGACTCCCCATTTTACACACAAGATGTGTTCTGTGTTACAAAGAAATGGAAACTGCTATTAAAACTGTGGTAAAATCTTTTTAGGTTATGCCCTCAATTAAAGGCCACACATAATTGAATTAAGTTTTGTTACAGGTGCATTTAAAGGCAAAGAGTGAAATCCTTCCCCCCTTGAAACCAGTGATAAAATTCCCACTAGGTTGGCTGCAGTCAGGATTTTCAATCAGTGATTTGTCATAGTTTTAACAAGCCAGTTCCAGGGAACATGAAGACTTACGAACACATGTTAATGGTGATCTGGAAAGACTGTTTGCAGTGACACCCATCCCATTGTCCTGTTTCTTGCTAGATGTAAACTCATTCCAGCAAACCACAAAATGGATTGATGATGTCAGAACGGAACGGGGCAGTGATGTCATCATTATGCTAGTGGGAAATAAAACAGATCTAGCGGATAAGAGGTATGGCAAATAACTCACTTTTCATGTTTTTGACTTGTATGGCCAGTCTGCTGCAGTTTTTTTCTCAGAGAGCTTTTTTTTTTAAGCACATTTTTCATCTAAAATTTAATTTGCTTAGATTTATATCAAAGATGAGATGAATAGAAACGGTCTTGAACTTCTTAAATTTTAATTAAAACATTAAACTTCTTTTTGTCTTGATTGTGAGCGCACAGTATTGCATTTTGAAGGAAAAAACAGAATGAGCATTTTCAGGGAAAGGATTTTAAGTTGAGCGAAATAAAAAAATAACAAGCAGCATCAGCAACGATCAGTACGCTAGGTTATTACTGCTCCAATGTAATAATCTGGATTGAACACCATTGAGTTTAAATGATCTTGTACCCCATTAAACATCATGACACTTGAAGTCCACACTTGGCTTGGGTCTTTATTTGAAGGAGCAATTTCTCTTGAATTGAGTGACTACAACTGTAAGTTGAGTGGAATTTTTGTCCACGCTAATATCAAATGCTTGTGACTTTTGTACTGGTATTTAAACATTATTACCTGTTGTTCACAGTGTAAGCAGATGTATTTCTTCTTTATTAAGACATGGCAACTTAATGGTAGTACCCTTAAGAACATACCGTTATTGTATCTTTGGACTGGGCTAAAAACTAAATATCCTGACAACAGTTTGCCCTGTATCATAATGGCATATGTTGTAAGCTTGGGCCCAGGGCAAAGCTGTCAGGTTGGATGTGTTGAGTGCCTTAGCATGTTGGTGTAGATTCCCTTTGCCCCTTGAAACAAAGTCTTTTGCTGTTACGTTGACTGAGCGTGGATGTTCAAAACTGATCTGCCAATGCTTATAATAGCTTGAAAACCTAATATAGTAGGGCTTTGCTAAACATTGCTCATTAGAGTAACCCATAAAAGAGAACTGATCAAGACGTTTAAGTATAGTTTCCTGGCAAGGGACTTCAGCAGCCAGCAACCATCCTAACTTTGTCATCAAAGAGCTGAGAGTTGCTATTTTGAACTGATGCTTTTGTAACATCCAGTGAAGTAGGTTGTTGTCTACAAAAGCCCGTGCCTCTCAAAAGCAGTAAGTCTCTGAGGTGCCACCCTGCCCTACTGTCTGCCATTTTGAACTAGGTGTATAGAAACCCAACTCGTGTTCAAGTATAGTGCAATTCTTACAGTGGTAGCTGTCCTCAGCCAGCTTGAGTATCTGTTGGTTGCATATACAGGCATACCTCGAAGATATTGCAGGTTTGGTTCAAGACCACCGCAATAAAGCGAGTCACATGAATTTTTTGGTTTCCCAGTGCATATAAAAGTTATGTTTACACTATACTGTAGTCTATTAAGTGTGCAATAGCATTATGTCTAAAAAAACAATGTACATACCTAACTGTTTGGCGCAAGAGGCCTAGCTTTTGGCCTGTCTTGGCTTTCAACATGCCTTCCTCGCTAAGCTTAATCATTTCTAGCTTTTGATTTAAAGTGAGAGACGTGCGACTCTTTCTTTCACTTGAACACTTAGAGGCCATTGTAGGGTTATTAATTGGCCTAATTTCAATATTGTTGTGTCATAGGGAATAGGGAGGCCCAAGGAGAGGGAGAGAGATGGGGGAGCGGCCGGTTGGTGGAGCAGTCAGAACACACGCAACATTTATCGATTAAGTTCGCCGTCTTATATGGGCGCGGTTCGTGGCGCCCCAAAACAATTACAATAGTAACATCAAAGATCACAGATCACCATAACAAATATAATAATAATAACGAAAAAGTTTGAAATATTGTGAGAATTACCAAAACATGACACAGAGACACGAAGTGAGCAAATGCTGTTGGAAAAATGGCACCGATGGAAAAATGGCGCCTATAGACTTGCTCGACGCAGGGTTGCCACAAACCTTCAATTTGTAAAAAAAAATGCAATATCTGCAAAGCGCAATAAAGCGAAGCGCAATAAAACGAGGTATGCCTGTAGTGGATAACTGGTGCGGGGGTAGGGGTGGGTTTTTTGCTTTTGTTTGCTTCTTTGCATCTAATGCCATGTTATCTTCCCCAGGCAAGTGTCCATTGAGGAAGGAGAAAGAAAAGCCAAAGAGCTGAATGTAATGTTCATCGAAACTAGTGCAAAAGCAGGATACAATGTAAAACAGGTAAGTGACCACCGGCCAGTGTATGTTAAGCTACAGTGCTTGTTCTCTGCATGATCAACCAGAACATAGAGCACTCCTTGGCCGTGGGAATAGAGTAGCCTGCTCAAGTACACTGGGACATGTATTCTCCGTTCCATGTTCAGCAGATAAGTCTTCAGTTTGAAATGGTAATTTGCGGCAGAGCAGGCAGGAGGGGAAGTGGTAAATCTCAGGGCAGAAGGAAGAATCTGGGCTTGAAACTGTTTGTTCCCAGAGTCTGGTTGCTCTAAGGCTAGCATTACAGCTTATGATGGCTAGGACTTTGGGTCCTGTGACTGCACTACTAGTTGGCTGTGTGACCTTGCCCAAGCCAGCCAGACTTAACAGTGTTTCCCAGTGTGGCTTAAATGTTGTGCAGTTATTTGCAAGGGCCTGTAAATGTAGATGTTTCTGGAAAATTTCTCCTTTTCCTGCAGCTGGATAGAGGAAAATCTACTGGAAGACCTCCCAGTTGGGCAGTCTGATGTAGCAGCTTTTGATCTGCTGCAGCCACAGCAATGTTGAGTTTGTTGCAAGATGGGATGTAGCTCATTAAAAACCAAACTGTCAAATGATGCTTTTAATGCCCACTGTACTACTAATTAGTAGGTGGTACTACTGCCAAACTAATACTTCAGCTACGAAGTGCCCCCAGTATGTCAAACAGCAGCTAGTTCTCACGTATCTTAATTGGGCAGTCAACTTGGAGCATAAAGCAAATTAAGCCCGGTGCTAAGTCTGAAAGCCCACAGTTCATAAGGCCTTGTGAAGAGAAAATGCATTTAAATGAAAATTCAGGAGATACCAAGCTGTATTCTCCAGCCAGAGCTTGATTTCTAACTAGGGCTTGGAGATGGTGCTGGAATCAAGTGAGCACAGTGTAGTGCTTATATAGGATGAGCTACGCAGGTTGTTTTCACTGTTTGTGAAGAATGGTAGTGACTGCATATTTCTATACATGACCACTTTTTGGAGTGGGACCAGGCCAGAGTTCTTCTCTAATGAAGGGGAGGTTCTGTCCAGGCTTCAAAACCCAGCTGATGCTGTTTTGAGTGTTGGCTGGAATGGTGTAGGGACTGGAAGGAACAATGAATCACAGAAAAGCAGGGCTGGCAGGGGTATCTAGTCCAACCTCCTGCTCAAGGCAGGAGCCAGCCCCAGCTAAACCATTCCAAACAACCATTCCTAAGCCTTTAAACCGAGTCCCCTGCACTGGAAAGCATTTACCCAGAGTCCTAACACTTCTCCACTCCTAACATGTATGAAGGATCACCTAATACACTACAGCTACAAGACATCCTGGGCTTTTGGGGGTGGGGGGTGCAGCCCTTTAAGCAAAGCGGCCAGAGCGTCTCGTGCATCAGCACCCGTGCACTGAAAAATGGCAGTGGGCATGCTTTAACCTAAAGCTTGTTGAACGAGCTTTAGTTAAAGCTCCCCCGCGACCATTTTTCCAGTGCAGGTAAGTTAATACACATGATGCTGGAGTCTGGAGTGCAGCAATTACCGTGCTGCAGCAGACTTGCTTAATCAGGTTTGCTCCAACGTGCTGTAATTATAGCATGTCCAAGCAGCCTCACTGCATGTGTATAGGTGCCCCCTGTGCTAACCAACCAGATGCATCATACCACAGATCAAAGCTGGGGAGACAAGGTGCCACCAATGGCCTGCTGTTCCTCTGACAAAGAAATTATTGGATAATATATGCTCACCACACCTAGGAAGGGGACAGCTGGCCAGTTACAAGCTGGGTCCTCAATGCAGACAGTAGTTTAGAGGATCGTGCTGGCAGGAGACTTATGATATATCTAAGTTTCATCTTGACATAAAATGTGAGTGGTGTAGTGAATCAAACAGTGCTCTTATACTGACCACACCACAATGATCATATAGCTGATTGTACTGGAATGGTAGATCCATTTCATTTAATGTCTTAAAGACAAACTTCAGCTTCTTGTATGCTGTATCTCCACTGTTATTGAGGGGCAAGTTACTCCACTCATCACTGGTAAGAACGTGCACACAGGCAGTTACCAGTGGGGACCTATAAATTCATGCCCTTGCTAACCTTGTATTTTGTTTGTGCGCCATCCCCTAAGACCAAAGATGCCCATAGAGATCATTTGACAACTGGAGGATGGATTTTCCTTCGGTGGGTTTTGATCAAAGACAGATTTCAATTTTTAGGGTCTTTTTTAAAGCTGCTTTTCCAATTCTGTGAAAGAACCTTCCTGCAATTTCTGTTTTTCTCCAGTCTAATCAGTACCTGCTACCATAGTCTCCGTAGAAAAGACTCTTCAGTTAATCACCTGCTTCTCCATTTTCTGTGCTGCTTTTTGTCAAATAATCTTGGATTATTTTCCTTTGGTGCAAACAGAAATTCTTCTCTAAACAAAGTGGGGAAACTTGTGATGGGTATAAGTCCTAGGTCTGCAAAAAGCACCGTTTTTACTAAGACAACATGAATGGAGGCAGTCAAGTTTGACCTTCCTCTGACTGATAACTTCCGTTCATAATAAAGTGCTGTGTGTTGGCTCTGCAGAATAATTACTGTCAAACTTAATCTTCCTACAGGAAGGTGATTCAAGTGTCAAATTGTTTTACATTTGGTTATATAAAGTGAAATGCATTTATATAAAAAAAAATCCAGGTCATTTAGTGCTGAATATCAATCTTTAGAATATAGGGGACTTTTAAAATAGTGGCATATCATTCATTTGTCCATTTTGGGATTAGAAATTCAGACTTTAGCATCTTATATAGCATGCTGTTTTGGTGTTGCATAGTACCTATGTGCATCGATTTAAGCAATATGAAGTGCTCTTTTTCTACTCAAAATGTTTCACACTGTTTGGACTCTTGTAATTTCATTGTTCCAGCTCTGGGTTTGTTGTCAAGATCTCCTTCAGAAGCCATCTAGGCAGTCGCAGAGGCCTGGCAGGCTACAGCTCTGTTTCCAATCCACCCTTATCAAAGAGTCATCTTCCAGTATCTGTATACTCTGCTCTGCCTTTGGAGTAGGAGAAAGTGCAGATTGCTCTGCTGGAACAGTGGGTAACCTCAGCTAGGTAGAAACTCTAATCTTGTATTATTAGATCTTTCAGTCATTTGCTTTCAGTACCCCTGACTTCTAAGGTGGCAACACTCACACCTTATGGTACATTAGGATTATAGGAAAATAGGGCTAGAAGGACTCAATGGGTTCATCTAGTCCAGCCCCCTGCTCAAGGCAGGACTGTCCCTAACTAAACCATCCCAGCCAAGTGTCTGTCCAACCTGCTCTTGAAAGTTTCCAGGGATGGAGATACCACAACTTTTCTAGGTAGCCCCTTCCAGTGCTTGACCACTCTCAAAGTCTCTCCTAATCTCCAACCTAACTTTCTTATGTTGCAGCTTGAGGCCAAGCTCCTAGTCCTGTCCCTTACTGTTACAGAGAAAAGCTCATCTTCATCTTCTTTCCAATAGCCCTTCAGGTATTTGAAGACTTACAAATCCCCTCAATTGTCTCTTTTCCAGACTAAATAACCCTAGTTCTTTCAGGCTTTGGGAAGGCCTTGTGACTGGCAGATATGCTAGCTTGGAGGTCTGGATACAAGAGGCTTTCCCAGTAGCCTGGTGGTTCCATCTCAAGTCTCCTTGTTCCCTTGTTGCTCTCCTGAAGGAGGGATCTCCCAAATCAGCTGATGGGACAAGTCCCCTCCTTTTAGCTGCAGGTGAGCCTGCAGCACAGATTCTTTCTCTTATGGCTGGGGGAGAAACTTGGATAAAGGCACAGCCTTCTCTGGGCATGCAGTTCCTCTATGTTTAACACTCTTGCCTTGTAAAAGAGGGCTGCCAGGCCTTGTGGCTTGGAGAATGGACTTTCCAATAGCATGTGAACAGCAGGGGGATGCTCACTCCTCTAAAATAATTGCATCAAAGTGAAATGATTCCTTCGTGCTGTCCTGGATTTCCTGTAAGGGCGGTTCAGCAAAGGTCCCTCGGTCTCTTTGAGAGCTCAGGCCTGAGGGGAGGAATGATTGCAACTTTGATTTGCAGAATAGTTAATCTGTTCGTTGACCCTAAGCAGGGCTTAGTCTTGAGACTTGCTTTTGCCTATCAGACCTGTGGTGTTTTTCTGTTGAGTCTTAGCCTGTTTCATGCCTAGGATACATGAGCGAGGTCTCTTTAAAGCATCCACCTGGTGCACTCTGCCTATGTTCTGAAAGAACTACAGGCTGAATGTGGCATTGGTTGATGTGGTATTTGGCAAGAAGGGTTTCTCATGGCTGGGGTTTAAGGGCAGCAGCCTAGTCTACAGAGCTGGCAGAGTCCAGCAGCTTGGCCCTTGCTACCATCCCTTCATTTTTGTTTGTTCGATGGGGAGGAATTGCCCTCTGAATCATACCGCTGTGCCCAAGAAGCAGGACCAGGGAAAACCATTCTTTTCTGGTCCCTGCAGCACTGAGGCAACAGATTATCACACAGGCTCTCAACCTGGGCACTGACTTCCCTGCCCTTCCCATATGGCTGAATGGGCTAGAAGGGAGAGGGGATGTCACAGGCAGAAAGGGTTGAGACCAAGGTCTAAAGGAAGTGCTACCTAGAGACCCCAACACTGCTTATGTTCCACTAAATCCAGCAGTGAAGCACCCCTGAGAGAATGGGGGTGAACCTCTATGGGGGGTAAGTTGCAACATTTTGTGCCATCGCTTCTCGTCCGTCGAGGTAGCTGTTTGCTAAAGGTTAATCAGCTAATACCTGCTCCCCAGTGATAAGAGAGCAATAACCACCTACTGGGAGCTACCCTGGGATAGCTGCCCTGTCTGTCTATTCCTGATCCAAGTAAAAAGCTCACTGGTAACAAAACCAATGGACATTAGGATAGGATACAGTGTACAGTAGGATTTGTCCATATCCTGTTAGTGACTGCTCAGCTGTCACAGGGCAGGGAGAGCAGGGGAAGCCAGGTGACTGAAGTGTCAAGGGGCTGGGGCTTGCTT